TTCTGCTTTAGGTATTTTTGCATGGCTACAGAATTAATTCAAATCTGCAACCATCTAATATGAGGAGCTAGCAATTTTCTAAAACGCACGAAAACAACCGACTTACCAATTTTTTAAAACGTGCCAAACTGGACTGTAATATCCAGTTTTACCACATTTTGCATTTTTATATCTAAAGGCTCTTGGTTCTTAATTTTCATTAATTATTTCCTTTTCAATATTATCCAAAAATATTTTTCAAAATCTAGTTCATCTTTGGAAGAGGATGCTGGAGACTCAATTGCAATGCCTGCCGTTTGACTGTCCTGATTCGAATTCTCCAATTGTTCTGAAAATAATTTCATTCTTAATGAACCTAGATGGCTTTTTTGCCTTTAATTTGTTCGTCATCCAAGAAAATTCGGTGTTTCGGATCTACAATATTACTAGCAGTTTTGTCTAGCAAACTAGTTTCTCTTTTCTTCAATGAAGAAATGATTCCTTCTGCAATAAACCCTCCATTTCAGAAAGACCATTCCAGTCTTTCTGTTAGTGAAACATTAAGGTGATCTACATCTTCAAAGAAAGTTCTTAATTCTAACAATGTCTTTATCATCAAATATATACTTCTTTATCACATTGCTTGATCAATAATTGCTCCTTTTCCTGCTGACTACCTAAGAATGGCATCAATTTTGGAAGTTCTAGCTGGCTATTGCTGCTTACCTAAATTGACCAGCGAGATTTGTAACTAAATGATTCAGTTTAATCACATTCATCCTCCTTCTTTTATTTATTTATTAATATGTGAATAAAATAGAAAATAACTATTTGTTAATGCATATAGTCCATATATAAAAACATAATAACTCATCTTATTATTTTTTCAATTCATTTTAATTTCATTTCAAATTTAAACTGTCCAACAAAAACTGGAGTCGGAGTCAACCTGTTTTTAGCGACTTCAGCTCCTACTCCTTTTACCCCAAAATCTGCCTGTCTGACTCCGACTCCACAGCCCTGATTTTTTTGTACAAATACGCTTAACTGCTGAAAGTGTGTGGTCCGGTGGCGAAGTTCCATTTCAGAGGGTTCGGTTCCGTCACTGCGCTTCGTTCTACGTGCGTTGGTCCTCAAGGGGTTAAATATACTATAACCAGGATAATTTGTAAAATGCAGAATGTATCTCATTCTCTAAATATGTTTTGTAAAAAACTTACAAATCAACATGAAGGAATTTCTCTTCCAACTGCAGATTACATCTTTCACAATGTCCCATTTGTAATCTTCTTAGCAATAAATTCACATCTATGGCAAATGTATAAAAAAAGTTTGATGCCTTTTTAAAATCTTTAAATCAGTTTTTGATTTAAAAATTCGAGTCGGATAACAACAAAGCATACGGCACATCTCCATCATACTGTGCATCGAAGGATGAGCATGCTATGATGGAATGTCTTTTATTGGGATATGATGATTGTTTTATATAAAATGTATATTATTCCCTGAAAAATTCTTTAATATGATTCAGTTATGTGGGGGACAAGCTAACACCTGGAGGGCTGCACTTAACCCATGGTCCTCGGGATGGTGACTCACGTTCTACAGGTAGCATGATAGTTTTCGTTTCAATTTTAATATATCCTTTCCAGTAGTTTAATAATATATATTATTCAATATGTTTCATTTAAGAACACATCCATCATCTTCTAGTATTGAAATTTTTTAGCAGTTCACGAATGATTTCCATCTTTTTGTATGCATTTACGTTGGATGGCAATATATATATATATATATATATATATATATATATGATGTACCAGCTTTTGTCATAGGTTAAATTATCAGACGAGAAGTTTTAAAAAACAGGATACATTTATTATATTTCAGGAGAAAATAGAAGTTACAAAATCAGATATCCGGAGTAAATAAAAAAGAATTACTAATAACTTTTTGTATGAAGTTTACTGCATCGTGACATTAAAGAAAAAGCCCCGATATTCTTTTGCGAGTCTTTTTATAGCCTCTGGAAAGGCGGAGCTTCCAAGAAATGACGTCAGCCAATCCAGTTCGCTTTAAATATCTCCAGGACATTCTAAAACTGTACGTGTAGAAAAGGCGAAAAAAACAACTTGACTACGGGGCTGTGGATTTAATTCCATGTACTTTCAAATAAGAGAACGTCGCCATTAAAAATGAAAAGAACATACAGTTAAAAATTTTAAGTGTATTCTTGACTATGGAATTTTATTATTACATATATATATATATATATATATATAAAACTATTCACAAAAATTAAAAGACCTTCCCAGACAAATCAAAGAAATTAACTTCCACATACATGAAAAGCCATACTGAAAAACTACCATTAGTACCCCCTAAGAAAAGAATCACAGTGTGGATATCACATCAGCTCAATGCTACAAAATGAACTCCACTTAAGCATTAATATTAGGATTATACACTGAAAACACGACTACAAGCTCGGCAAGATCACCAAACACTGTCCCACTAATGACCATTAAGGACTGCTGAATACTGATAGTTTATCCTAGGTTCAAATCCAGACAAATGGGCTGGCTGCATGGTTATTCTTGTGCACGACATGAATACAAACCACTCTGCCCCAGGCCTATATATACGTCCTTCCAAACTGCTATCATTTGATTTGCGCTGCTACACCTAAAATTATTCGCAAAGTTAACGCATCGGCTGCGGATCTGGGGCAGTTAACGCATCGGCTGAGCAAGGCGTATATGTACGCCCGCGGCAGTTAAGGGGTTAAAAGTCCCCCACGGAAACATTCCTTCCCTTAGGCAGATAACTCTCATGTGCATACACGTGAGAGCTATTCAACCAGCCAACCACCAAACATTGGCAACTAGCTACGAGTTTGATTTCTGATAACAGTGTGTTCAAAATTGGAAGTTTTGTGCCCCTGTTCTCATGTGTATGCAAATACAATCGAGTTTTGTCTAGAAAGTTCTTGAGGAAAGTGTCACTCCTAAAAAGCTTGTTCGAGTGGCTTCACCAAAAGTTTATGATAAGGAATATTCTGTATATTGAGGTACATTCTCATAAATGCAAAGGTCATTTTACCACTGCCATACAAGGAAGTAGTTACCGGATTGAAAGTCAATTTTAAAGCATATAAATTTTAAATAGCACAGAATCTACAAAATATCAATCGCACATTTTCCTTTAGCACTTAACTTTCGTTATACGTAACTTTATCGCCATGATTATTATTATTACAGTTCTTTAATAAACATGCAAAACCTTATTTTCCATTTATTATTATTTAGCAATCCTTCTGTAAATGCTTTTCTAGAAACACTGGCTACTGTTCACATTAAACCATAGATTCACACGCATAACTCAGAAATTTAAAAAAAAAAAAAAAAAAAAAAAAAAAAAAATCATCACTAAGATTTAGCAAAGAAGGAAATAAATATTCTGATTTTCACCTGTACATATAACTAGGAAATTTTTTTGCTTCTCTTAAAAGTTGCTTATAGAGCCGCAACACCTCATTACTGCGAGCAGCCATTTTAGATAGTAGTTGCCAACAATCTATTTCCTTCTTCCCATATTTATTTTATGTTATTTTTCAATTATTACTGATAAAAAATAATTAATCATATAATAATGGTTATTAACAATTTTGTATGCCTGTTTATTTTTTTATGGAAATACTTGGCATTTTCATGACCAAAAAGTACTTCAAAGAACTTTGAAGTATTAGTACAAACATATTAATAAATTGAATTGAAATAAATAATGGGATGTAATTTAAAAGACAGAAATAATTTACTGTAAGAGATTTAGATTTAAAAATTTGCACACACAAATGATTTATCAGATTTTATAAGGTTTTATTTCAAAAATAACTTTGATTTTGAAATATAGTATTTGAACCTATAAACATGTGTGAATACTGAAAAAGTTATGAATATATAAGAATATTATAATTTTCAGTAAGTTTGCTTATTGAATAATAAATTCTGAAAGTTCTATGCTATAAGACTAAGGTAAGTTGGCATAAAGATTCCTCTGTTAAATAAAAGAATTTAAGCAATTTCTGTAGCCTTTTTGTCAATACTCTAAAGATTTCTTAACTAATTACGCATCCTCACTTGCAAACCATCATTAAATCCCTATTTTATCTAATCATTTCCTGCACATTATTATGTTTATAGATTGACCTCGTCTTTGAAACTGATAATTATTACTTATTGCTTATCTTATAATAATAAAAGCAAGTGTAATGTGTCTGTCTGTCTGTCTGACCGAGCTCTCCAGCCAAATCTATCGCACGCAGGGACCTGGAAATTTTTATACGGAAGCACAAAGGGGCTGGCCACCAGACCTCGAAGCCCGATTTTCGATTTTTGAATTAGAAAAATTTTAAAAAAATTATTTATAATTAATTAATCACGGTTTTTTTGACTCACTGATATTATTATTTGTTTTCAAATAACGTTCGATTGTAACAATTGATTTCTTTATTCTAGCGTTAGTTTGCTGTTTTGACGATACATTAAATCGATTAATTACAATTCATTTCTTTTTTGTAGCTTGTGGGGGGGGAAGAGAGAGAGACAGTCTACATGTCCTACACTACTATTCCTGCGCTATTCACTTATCTGCATTTTCTAAATGCACGGGCAACGCCGGGCGGGTACACCTAGTTGAATAATAAATTCTGAAAGTTCTATGCTATAAGACTAAGGTAAGTTGGCATAAAGATTCCTCTGTTAAATAAAAGAATTTAAGCGATTTCTGTAGCCTTTTTGTCAATACTCTAAAGATTTCTTAACTAATTACGTATCCTCACTTGCAAACCATCATTAAATCCCTATTTTATCTAATCATTTCCTGCACATTATTATGTTTATAGATTGACCTCGTCTTTGAAACTGATAATTATTACTTACAAATTATTCTCTTGCTGGTGTCTCTTTCCTTGTCGTAAAATGCTGGTACCTGGGCTGATTGTGCCCATGCGCGAACATAGGTGGCGTGAATAGCCTCTTAGCTAATCGCACCATCGACTAGCCACTGCCTAAAATGTGGCTGTCTGTGCGCATATTAGTGCCTCTGAATAAATTCCAAAAGAACAGCTTTAGAAACACGATGAATGTATCTGTGAGGAGAATTCACACAACAATAACGAAAAGTTGTAATAAATTGAAACTGGAAGAATGTCATGTTATTACTATCTTCGGGAAAAACTATATTCGCGATGAGTATACTAATGTTACACCTCATGTTTTAAGTCTTTTGTCTCATAATTTACATCTTGTAAAAAATCATCCTTTGAACTTAATCAAACAGAGAATAGTACGATACATGTACGGCAGTTATTTAAATCGCCGTGGTAATCCTCTGTTTTCTGTGTACGATAAACTTGCTCCTGTAGTTACTGTTCAACAAAATTTTGATAGTTTGTTAATTCCTGAAGACCATCCTAGCCGAAAAAAGAGTGATTCTTATTATATAAATTCAAATTATTTATTAAGACCTCATACTTCTGCTCACCAGAAAGAGCTGATTATGAGTGGGCTTGATCATTTTTTAGTTATAGGTGATGTATATCGAAGAGATGAGATAGATGCCAAACATTATCCTGTCTTTCATCAGTGTGAAGGAGTTCGTCTGCTTTCGCCGTATGAGGTTTCTTATTTTTGTTAATTCTATTTATTGTTTAAAATATTGTATTGCAAATTTTATCTAATATGTTATGAATATGGCATTTTATCACATTTTAACCGTGTATATCAGGCTAAATTACAGACAAAAAAAACTGTCACCATATATGAGAAGCTGACATTGTTGAAATACAGTGTCTTACAAAAGTGTTTGGATATTATTGTCTTTGTTAGATTAAATCACTAAGTGTTTACAACACAAAACACTAAGTGTTACAACACAAAGTAGCCAAATCTCGTGTGCACCGGATATTAGGATTAAACCCACAAAATTAATTTTTTTTTTGGATTGGACATCAGTCAATTCCCAATTTACTGAGATTATATCAAGGATGGTGGCCATGGTAAACTCAAAATAATGGTTAATATGAGAGCAGTTAATGAAATTCATGAAAGGAATAATGCACACTTCATTTCTATGACAACAGACAGCTGTAGGCATTCTGTGAGAAGATATTAGTGTTAGACAGATATCCCCATTTCATTCAAGAGTTAAGAGTATTTGTATTTATACCATTTTCTGTAAGGCAAATATCAGAAACTTTTAAATTGAATTTTAAATTTATTGAACTATAATGATTTAATTTTAGTAGCAGGTATTACATTTACCTGTTTAATAATAAAATTTCCTTCTGAGGTGTTAATCTGTAATCTGGAAGAATTTGGGGTTGATCTTTACATTATGGTAACTTGGCGAAAATTTGGCGACCAACTCTTTTACAGCAACTCTCTCTATTTTTTTTTTCCCGCCGCCATTTTGTCTTCACAAAGTAAAGACATGTTTATTTTCTTTTTATCTACTAAACACTTCTTCCAACAATCTACTAGCCGAATTACACTTATGCTAGAAATTTTATCTAACAAAACTGCTTAATCATGGCAAATATTCACTGCAAAATTGGGAAAAAGTGCACAATACCATACTCCTTACACGTTTTTCAAAATAACACATACACATAAACCATGTACACGTCGACTTATTTTTACTTAAAAAAACATCCCAGAATTACACAAAAATGGCATTGCGCACACTCTTCACTATATCCATGTACACTGCTTTTTTCTCATAAATTAGAAAAATTTCACGAAAATACATGACAATTTTCTGAATCTTTAAACCCGGTAAAAAGAACATATATGAAATTACCTGATCGCGAAAAAGTATATACCCTTTCCAAATATGAACATTTCCACATACAAAATAAATAAAATATCCAAAAACTTTTACCTCTAAATCATCTATTATATTATAAACGTCACCAACGAATTCATACCACAAGCATTACAAATACTTAGTGTCAAATATTTAAATTATTTCCATGCACGTTTACTTCAACTAAAACGTATACCAAATTCCTACAAACATAAAATTCACAAAATAACTATCATTTAATTAAAATATCACTAAACCATGTACATGTTGACTTATTTTTACTTAAAAAAAAATCCCAGAATTGCACAAAAATGGCATTGCGTACACTCTTCACCAAATCCATGTACGCTCCCTTTTTCCTCATAAATTAGAAAAATTTCACGAAAATGCATGACAATTTTCTGAATCTTTAAACCCGTTAAAAAGAACATATATGAAATTACCTAATAACGAAAAAGTATATACCCTTTCCAAATATGAACATTTCCACGTATAAAATAAATAAAATATCCAAAAACTTTTACCTCTTAAATTATCTATTATATTATAAACGTCACCAACGAATTCATACCGCAAACATTACAAATACTTAGTGTCAAATATTTAAATTATTTCCATGCACGTTTACTTCAACTAAAATTCAACCAAATTCCTACAAACATAAAATTTACAAAATAACTATCATTTAATTAAAATATAATTAAATTCAAAAACACTACTTAAAATATAAATAAGCACATACATTAAATTAATAAAAATTAGCTTACAATCCTAATTACTTTAAATCATTGCTAATAACAATTTTCCCAATAATACCAAATTACGGTAAACTCCTAGTATACGGTGCAGCCTTGGTGCGATTTTGAAAATTATCGACAACACCAAAAATGACCCAAAGAACGTCTATGTATATTACATACACTATATACTATCACTATATACATAGCATATACTATGTATAACTATATATATTCTTTGAATACCCGTTTATTACTCATCATATATGTCCCGTTTTTACAGCTCATAAAAGTAGCCAAATCCCGTGTGCACCGGATACTAGGATTAAACCCAAATTGCTTTACTTCCACCTTACATTTAGAGCAATGCATAAAAATAATATCCTCAAATAATTAAAAATACTAACTTACCTAATCTTCTTCAGAATCTTCATTACGTGTCCGATAAACTTTTCTTATTTCTGTTTCAGGATCTTTAAAATCATACTTATAGTTCACAGCAAGGTACCAGGTAAAATAAATAACTTAATAAAACATCTTTACTTCTATCTCGCACAACCTTCAAAAAACACTTATTACTACCCCTTTCAATCCCACTAAATACCCATTTCGAATTCACTTTAGTTAGGGCCATGGGATCCAAAAATTAACGAACACTGTTTCACACAACACAGAATAAAGCCAAATACAAAATTTCCAGATTTTTTCCCGATTTCCCCCTTTTTCCGATTAAAGAACTGTAATTCGTCCATTAATATCACATGACATATCCCATGATCTCTCATTTCCCTCACACAAAATAATGCGTAATCGGAACTGAGTACTGCTCACATTATTACCAAAGTCCCAGGTAGTAACCTTTATCGTCTCCAAAATGTCGCCAAACTACCAGTTACCATATTCTAAAGATCAGCCGAATTTGGTTTTTCAGATATATCACAGAATTGTGTGGGCTGATAATAATAAAATTTCTATTATAATCATATCTGTGATACACAAATTTGTATCCAATGTTTGCATTGTAACATTTTGAAACTATAATCTATTATTATAACTATCATTTTGTGGAACTTCAGTGACATCAGATGTACTTCTGATGTTACTGAAGTAGATAATAGTTTTTGGGACACCTTATATAACTAATTCATTTTTTATGATTATTAATGCTTTTAACAGTTATTCTCCAATGTACCTAATGGGGAAGATATGAAGTTATTTCTTGATGATGTTAGAAGAGCAGAGAAGCAAGGGTGTCATACAATGGAAGCAACAAAATTAATGGAAAAAGACCTTAAGGGCTGCTTAGTAGGTTTAATTAAAAGACTGTTTGGTGAAAGTATGTTTTTATTTTATATTTCCCTTTATACTTTTAGTGTATTCTGTGTTCTCTGTATATGGATATAAACAGTCCTTTGCATATGTAGAAATTATCTATTGTGTGATTCCTTAGCAGCATCCATAGCTGGCATTTCCTTAAACTGAAATATATGCTGTAAATTCCATCTTCTGCCAGAAACTGTGTTTGAATTTTAAGATAGACCTGATTGTCTAAAATTGAACATAGTTCATTCACTTTCCTTTTTAGAGTTACAATATTGCTTGCAGAAACCCATGAAGAGGCATTCCAAATCGCAGTAAATTTAGATTCATGCTTAGTGTTAACACAAAACAGTTTAAGTCATTCATTTCTGTAGATGTTCTTCAGATGTATGCATGTCCTTGTTGAGGTTAGTGATGTGAATGATGAATTGTCTGACCAAATGATATTCTTCCATCTGTAAATCAGTCAGGATTCATGCTTGTGGTGTAGCATTTTTTATTTATATCTTTTGCAAATGGCATGGGAATTGCTACTTTGCCATAAGACCTTTATGAAATTCTTTCAAACTGTGATCATCAATAAGAGCCTATAAGGTCTTTCTCCGGCCTTCCTAGCGTGCCTTCGTGGTTTACTGGTTCTGCAAGCTGGGCCGGTATTCCAGACGTCCATGGTTTGATTCCCGGCAAAGGCAGTCGCTAATTGTTCATCTTTGTTCCAAAAATACCTAATGTCTCTACAGTGGTGCCTGAACTGAAAGAGTCGTGGATGATGAATCTCCACACCCAGGATTTGGGATTCGGTCTCCTAAAAATCCCAGTCGCCCTTTAAAAGGGGGAGTATATAAGGTATTTCTCCTGCCTTCCTAGTGTGCCTTCGTGGTGTAGTGGTTCTGCACGCTGGGCAGGTATTCCAGAAGTCCGTGGTTCGATTCCCGGCAGAAGCGTTGCATATTTTTCAATCTCTCTTGCTTCCAAAAATACCTAACGTCTCTACAAGATAATACTTCTTAACTGACTTGAATGCCCAGATAGTAAAGTGTTTTGATAGTGTACCTTTCAGAAAACACACACATCCAGTTGCTTGATGTTTTCTGTCATTTGAATAAAAGCTTCATCTTTGTTCCAAAAATACCTAATGTCTCTACAAGCCTTTATATTAAGTTCTACAGTTTCACTTCAGTAGTGTTCTTTTCAGTCTCACAGTCTGTTTTAAAATATACAGGTTTCTTTCATTCACCTTTTCTTTTAACCATTGTTATGTTTCATAGATGATGTTTTTTTGTGAATTTGGTATGTATGTTTTAGTGCAACCACCTTGGTGCAGTTGCTTGACTTATCACTGCAAAACATTATACGTTACAAACTTGCAGACATATTTAATATTAAGTATTTATTCTGAAAACCAATCGATAGAACTGCTAGCAGTTTTTTTTTTTTTTTTTTTTTTTTTTTTAAACCTCTGGTGGAGTTAACATGACAATTGCTTTCTATTGAGTAGATTCAGAACAGTTGCTTTCTCTCTTTCTCTCTCCCACCTTTTTTTTTTGTTGGTTGCAAACTGTAGTTTTCCCATAGACAATTTACTGCATTTGTTTCTATTGCAGACAAATTTCACAAATGCATAATTGAGAATTGAGTTTAAAATAAAACATCTCAAGATTTATGCATAAAACCTGAAAACACATGTGAAAATGGTGACATTATATGTTAATATTGAAGGCTAGTTACATGCATGGTTATCTGAAGAACTGTTATGTGCATAGTTTCCAGAGTTTGGCACTTTCTAAAATTTGCCAGCTTTTACTGAGATAGTTGTACTAATATCTAAGTCTGTATATATCTGTATGCTGTCATTATTTTCAGTACCTTAATATGGAAAACATCCGATAATCTTGAAATTGTAGTGTCGGATGCTCCGAGCAGACATTCATTAATTAATTTACTTTTCTGAAAGTCTAGAAAAACTTCCAGAACTTAAAAGTAACATAAAAAGTTCTAGATTGACATATTTAAAATCACATTCAACCATTAGTTGGAGCATTTGCACACAACCATTTGCTTTATCAACTAGAGCTGGAATGAATGTCTTGATAAAGTTTCTCTTCTTTTATTGTATTTTGTAGTCTTTTATTGTAATTTTAAGGCTGTTTCTATGCCAGGGTCTGTTAATGACTTTAGATCTGTCCCATTCAATTACCAAGTTTGAATTTTCCAAGCAATATTTAACAAATGTGCTATTTTCATTGCTATACTGTTTGGCAGAGAGTCTGTTAATATTTTTTCATACTCCGCAATTCTTATTGAATATTTTCTACATGTTGAAGTAAATATATTGAGTTTTTGTGTGCTGGGCTTATGTGCAAATGGAGAAACTCAATATGTTGGTTCAACATTGAGAAAATTATCAGTGAAAATTGCTGAGCATGAAAGATGCATTTACAGACTCTTTTTTCCAACCAGTACGTTAATGAAACTAGCATATGTTTGGTTAAATATGCCTTAGTGGGAGCATCCGAACTCATTAACTGAATGGTACAGAGCAAAAAGCCATTAGTGGGGGGGGGACATAAAAGCAGGTTTAAAATCAAAGGAGTGCTAGAATCATCACCAAACCATACTGCAACATTACTTTTACTCTACCATACATCTGGACATTGATCAGGATCAATGTAATGATAAGTACAGCAGTCACAAAGAAAAGAGAATGCGAATTTGATCAAGCTATTCATTCTAGCTCCTGCTAATGTAGCAGATGAGCTATCTGCTATAGTTTTTATTTTAATAATACTTAAATGTGGTTTGAACATGGAAACATTTTGTTTTGTTTTTGTATGTCTAAACACGGAAAAATTTTGTTTTGTTTTTAACTTCACCTTATAGTTTGGTTTGTTTTTATTATTGTATGCGAAGAAAATCTCTACAGACTTTTAATCTTCCTCCCCTTCAAACTGTACATAGATAATATAATATTAAGTATTAAGGATTATGCATTTTTTAAACAGGTATTGAGTACAGATGGGCAGAATCCTATTTCCCATTCACCCATCCATCATGGGAATTGGAAATAAAATATAAAGGAGACTGGTTAGAAGTTTTAGGATGTGGAATAATGGAACAGGAGATTCTGAACAGAGGTTTGACGCCAATAATACTATTTCAATTTTTTTTTTTAATGCAGTATGACTGAATCATTGAAATGTTATATAGTGTTTTAAGGCACATAAAATCATTTCATATATATTGTTACAAATTAATATTTTAAAATTATGTCCTATTACCCATACTAACCCATACTACTCTGCAACAAATTTTAACTGTTTAATGCCTTTAATGGATAAGGAACCAAAGAAAGTATTTAACAAAAAATAATTATTGTGCTATGAAAGCAAAAACTTAAAAATTATGTACATACAGGCAAAATAACTTGACTCATTTAGAGAAACATCTTGTGTTTTGAATTCATTTCTTCTTTTTTCTGTCCCATAACTTAAGTCATGGACGTAGGCAGCTCAAATTATGGGAGGGTGCCTGTTACGAGTCCTATGGTTAGATTGTTTTACCTATTGCTGCATCTTCTCAATATATAGGTAATTATTACGTGATGAATATATTATGTTCATAGAAGTTATCTTAATATAAATAATAATTATATTATAAATTTTATTATTAATAAAATTATATAACATAATTATGGATATATTGCATTTAATTATAATATTTATAATTATTACCTTACAAACATATTAAATGCGAAACTCAGTTTTTGTTTTTCACCTTAGACACTTTAACCTTTATTAAAGCAATTTTAAAAAGCATAATAAATAACAAAAATAGAATAATGTTCTTAAAAGTATTTCTATTATTTTACTTTCATTTCTGGTGTACACACTCACATACACACAAAGAAATATTAAAAGAATTTTGAAATTCATTTTACTTTGGTTTCATAATATAATTATAAAGATAAATAAATATATGAAATCCATATTTCTGTTTCATGTAATAATAAAGATATTGAATTAAATACATAAAAGTTGTAAATACATAAATTATTTTGGATATAAAATTAAAAAGCAAATAAAAATTTTTAAAAAAGGCAAACATTTTTCTTGCATTTCATTTTGGTTTGGCAATTAAAATATTCCCTAATTGTATTTTCGGTGCCTGTAAACTGGCAAATATATCAATAACTTTGTCAATTGATATTTCTTTGGTATAATGAATGTGCATTAATGCCAAATAATTTCTTCTGTCATAGTAGCTCTATTATAATTTTCTAACTTTTTCAAAGCACTTCCGGAACGTTCACATTCACAAGAGTTATTGGTAGTGCAGCTATTATGTGCAATAGCACATTAATATTTGGAGAAAAGATTTTATTCGAAGCTTTTAAAGCCAAAACTCATGTGCCTGGGAGCTTTGCTTTAGGTATAGACATAAAATGCCATCACCAACGTTTCATTTCTTCATTTAGAAGTGTTTTCTGGAGAGAGTAAATCATCTTTATACGTAACCTTCAACTCATTTACAGTAATTTCATTTATATGATGAGAGCAAACTGATGATAGTACGCAAAACAGGGACGATGCAGTCTTTTCTAAATTTGAAAATTGAGGTTCTAAATTTAAGAAATAATTTTGTTATGAAAATTACTTTCTCTAACTGCGCAACTTGCATTAACTGTCTGTGTGATAATATCTGCATATGTCTGCATATATATATATATGCAGATATATGCAGAAGTCCAAATTTATTAGCTACCAAAATAAAAGACACTATAAAGTACAAATAGACTTATATTTAAACTTAGCCATTTAATAATATTACACAGAAGAGCAAATAAACTCATAGCAGCCAAAGAAGAATACTGAAAATGCCGTTTAAAACTTATTCGTATGATAAGATTCATTTCACAATTTTTACCTCAATATAAGTAATGATATTTTTAATTTATAACTATAATTTCCATTTAAATGAAAATGGATTTCAGGCAATGCTTTATCTGCAAGATAGGAGTTAATGACTGCTAAGCTGCAGAAAGTGATTTTGTGCTTTTTATGTTCTAGTCAATATCCTGAAGGATTTACAATTTTTCTCTTACCGATCTTCATTTAAACGATTTATTGGAATTTATTATTTGTATATAAAATTTAATTATTTTATCTGTATTATTCAACTATTTTTATCTGTGTGAAAGATAAAATAGTTAAATAGAGCACCTCAGAGACCCTTGGACCCATCCCCCCGGGGTGCTCTCCATCAAAATTGGGGGTGGGGGTGGAACTGAGCTAAATCGCACTGTTACCTGAATGGTGCTCAAGGCTGTTGCCAACGACAGGCGTATTCTAGCGCTCCTTGCCATGAGGAATTTCATGGGCTTGGGCTGACTACATCAGACAAGTGAGCATAAGGAACCACAGCATGATAATTTCTCTGAATAGTATAGTTAAATAAAATTAAAATAACTGCAAATGTAATAAATGTTTACAGTTCAAAATCACAGATTGTAAGGTTTTGCCTAAGTTTTCAACAGTTAATTTTGAGTCACTAATTAATAATTTAAGTCACTTTCCTATTTTCCTTAATTTCAGCTTACAGTTTCCTGCCAGAACATGTTTTCAGAATCATGGTTAAATGCAAATGAAGGAAGAACAAGTATTAAGTTGAAGTTAGAGAGCCAGAGATTCTGACCAGTGCACGTTTGCCTTTTGGTTATACTCTCTCTAAAGCTATTTCTATGCTCGGCCATACTTTAGACCCTTGATAGCTTCGGCATTTAGTAAGCGTTAAGCGGCCAACTTCTGTTGATTTTTTATAGCTTCGGCTATATTTCTTTAGTTTAGTTAAGTTTTAGTTTTTAGCATTCTTGAGTTTAAGCCCAAGTAGAGACTTTTCTGCGCATCCTGAGAGAAGACCGACTGTGAACTTTATTTGAGCAATGAAGAGTAATTAACCCTTTGTGAGTTTGCGTTTCTTTCTGAACTAAGCGATTATTCGCTTACCTGTTCTTAAGGTCTCACATATTCAGCTGTAAATTATAAATTGGAACATTACAAGGTAATTGCCACGAGGAATTTCGTAGGCTTGGGCTGACTACATCAGACAAGTGAGCATAAGGAACACAGCATGATAATTTCTCTGAATAATATAGTTAAATAAAATTAAGATAACTGCAAATGTAACAAATGTTGAGTACAATTCATAATCACAGATTGTAAGGTTTTTCCTAAGATTTTAACAGTTAATTTGAGTTAAAGTCACTTTCCTATTTTTCTTAATTTCAGCGTACAGTTTCCTGCCAGAACATGTTTTCAGAATCATGGTTAAATGCAAATGAAGGAAGAGCAAGTATTTAGAGAGCCAGAGATTCTGACCAGTGTGCATTTGCCTTTTGTTATACTCTCTCTAAAGCTATTTCTATGCTCATCCGTACTTTAGACCCTTGATAGCTTCGCCATTTAGTTAGCGTTAAGGGGCCAACTTCTGTAGATTTTTGATAGCTTCGGCTATATTTCTTTAGTTAAGTTTTATTTTCCAGCATTCTTGACTTCAAGCCCAAGTAGAGGCTTTTCTACACGTCCTGAGAGAAGACCGACTGTGAACTTTATTTGAGCAATGAAGACTAATTAACCCTAATGTGAGTTTGCGTTTCTATCTTTTTGAACTTGTCAGGATTTGTGTTTCTCTTAATTTGCTTTGGAAACATAATGTGTTCTGATTAGGAACAGGTAGCTTACTCAAATTATGTTCAAGATTTGTGTGTAACAGACGACACAAGCAGGAAGGGTATACGAAACCCTTTATTTTCTATACTTTCACAAGTACTTCCAAACTTCAGGATACAGAGACCAACCACTTGTGGTCTGAATGTAAAAATATAAAACTACTAACTAAAACTCTAACTAAAAGCTAACTTTGTATTTGTATACAAATGCCTAGCACTAAGACTGGCCTTTATTTAAAAGGGTAGGTATGTAGTACGTCGAGCTGCTGAAACTACAATACGTTTTCAAATATCAAGAGGACTAAACCTCTGGCCTCAAAGACAACCACCAACCGAGTGAAAACTCGTAAAACTGCAGTGGCAAGCAGCATGCTTCCTAAAAATCCTTCTTTCTCCCTAACTCTTGCAAAAAGCCACAACTTAAATACTTGGGCGTTAGCAAGACAATTTGCATAAACAAGTTAAAGCATTTAATTCTGGCCGGAAGTAGAAAATAAGAAGCGATAGTACAGTTTTAAAATAAAATAAACATTAGTAAAACTTAGGATCCTTACAAACTAAGTGATTATTCGCTTACCTGTTCTTAAGGTTCCACACATTTAGCTGTAAATTATAGGTTGGAACATTAGAAGGTAATTAATCATTGAACAAGTTTACCAATTACCAAAATTTTCACTTTAAATAAAGCCTAATACATTTAAATACACAATAGCATGAATTTTGAATGGCATAAAAAGTTATTTTATTTATTATAATTATATCTATTACTATAATAGTTATAATTATATAATAGTCAGAATTTTCAAATGAGAGGGAAAGATTGCTTACCTTTTTCCATAGCAGAAATGCTTCTGGTAGAGTTCATTTCGTTAGAAAATGAATATATTTTTGGAGAAAATAAACTCTGAATTTATTTTACACTTTTTTGTAATTTATGCTTTCCTTTTTCAGGGTGCCCCATATTAAGTAATTTATATTAACTCAACTCAAGTTAAAACATTATTGCTAGTAACACAACATAGGGCACAATTTGTGGGGAAAACATAGTAAGTTTCGATGACGTTAGATCTAATCCATTACTTCTCAATTCCTCATGATCAAATTATTGGCCATATCCCTCATAGTTTATCCTTAAGGGCTAATTGGACCTCTTAAATGGTCATTCCCGCAATTTAGTAAAACGAGATTGCGGGTCATTCCCGCAATCTCGGTTCTGTTCGTCGAGAAGCCTTTGTTCTTAATCATAGGAAGAGAGCAAAAAATATGTGTCTACATTTTATGTTATTTTTAAATGTTTAATTTTTTTTTTCTTAAAAAGGAATAGATGCTGTAAAATTGGGGAAGGGGAAAAAAAAAGTTTTAAGAATTTTGCAAAAATTGATATCCTACATTATAGAATTTAAAATTGAATAAATATCATTTTAAAATTTTAGGCGAGGAATCTAAACTATTATATGATGTAAATGAACCAGAAAAAAAGGAACAGTATTTTCGCATTCCCTTCCGAGAACAACGGTGATACCCTTTAATATTAATATTGGATTTTTTTCTGTTTTGCAATATGATCAAAAAGTAAAATGCATTTGTTTTTGATAACTATATTAGAACTATAGTGTAGAACATCAATTTTTTGCAACTGAAGCGCATGCCAATAAAATTATTTCTGTCGGAAAGGGATGTTTTTGATTCGCGGTTTTGGCTTGATGCTAACAATGTATATGATCTTACAATTACATCAACTTTTTATCATTAAAATTAGTATTTCATATATGCTTGCTACTGTTTGTTTGTATCAGTACCACAAAGCATGCAAAGGTATCTGTCCCCCCCCCCCCCATAGACATGACTAGGGAAGGGATGCCATCCCATCTATGGAGAACTTTTTGAGAGAAACTGGTTTCTATTTTCCTTAAACAGTAAAGAAAACCATAAAAGCTTGTTCTCTGATATTCTAATCTATGTCAAACTAGCAATGTTCAGCAATATTATAAATTTTGCCCACTAATGGGCTATGTACTTTTTTCATGCCATTAAAATGTCTTACACTTCCTTCTAATCAGAAATTATCTGATTATTTGTCCCAAAAATTGACATACACAAAACAAATAAATAAATAAATAAAATTTGCAAGCTTTCAGATTTGGCCTTTTTTTTTTTTTTTTTTTTTTTTTTTTTTACGTTTTGTGTGTTACCTTTATTTATTAAATATATTCTCCGCACTTAAACCATAAAATTCAATTCAAAAGCAATATCTCAAAATAAATTAAAAGGGGCATATCTTTAGAATTTCCCATACACAATCTTGCGTACTGGAGATAAAAAACTTTTTTTTTTCGTACAGTGTTGCTATTACACGCTTTTAAAATTGATGAGTTTGTTAATTAAAAATTCGTTAAAGTTTTACAAAATATGAAGTAGATAATAAAACAAATTCCAAATTTGAGCTTCCAGATTTCTATCTTCGAGTGGAGACTACATTGCTCAAAATTTGATGTGTCTAGGTACTGTTGTTTTTCACAGTTCGAGAAACATACAAACACTCATACAGATTTTCGTTATTTAATTTAAATATTATGCTGGGCTCTAATATTTGGTCACTACAATTTGAAAAGCGGAACACCATTTAAAGTGAAGAAACGCAAAATGGCAAAATTAATAGCCCTTCTGGGCAATTTGACCCTTTGGGCTAATAATAAAATAAAATAAAATACTTGGAAGTGAATGAAATATCTGCGTATTTAACAACTACATTATTAAATCATTTCAAATAACAAGAATTTAATTTGCTAAATGATTAAGAAAATAAACCTCATTGTATTGAAAGCATCGAAGCTGACATGCTCTCTGTATTATTCCAAAAAAAAGTTTAATATTTTTGCTATATTTATTGACTTTGATGTAATTGTAAAAATTTGATGTAATTGTAAGATCATATACATTGTTGGCATCAATCAGATAATTACTGAAATCTGAAGTTAAGGTAAAAAACAATCACTCAAAATTATTTTACTGTGTTTCTCTTTTGTGCAATATTTATATAATAAGTAGTAACTATTAAAATTAAATATCCCGAATTAATTTTTTCTTCTCTTTGCTTTCTTTCTTCTTTTTTTAACACTTATTTTCTTTTAACCATTATGCTTTTAGATTGCTTGTTCCGAAATGAAAGGGCTTTTCTTCTTTAGTGGCATTAAGATTGAAAGCTAAAGGGAAAGTGGGACTGAATACGGAAGACTATTCAAAGCTATAAAAGAACAAAAGCTTTACAACTTGAAGGTGTCGCATAACTTTCAAAGTATTTTCCCACCGCTTGTTTGCTGAGGAAGGGTGACTTTTCTTGATCTTACTTAAATAGAAAATGGTAGACTTTACGTTCATTCTTCGTTAATCACATGAATATTTTTGGGAAACTGGAAAGTAATATTTAAAAAAATTAAGTCTTTTCTATTTAAAATTATATTTAGCACTTTTTTTAAGCATAGGTAGTGGTGAAGCAGGAGAGTGCCTGAACACCCAGGGCACCCCCCCTGGCTACGCACTTGTAAGTGGTGCAGGAATAAAAGTTCCTTGCAGAAGTACTTTTCCTCTAGATCACATAAGATATACTGAGTATCTTTCAATGTAGATCCTCTTCATAACTTTTCCATCAGAGTGTTTGTTCTTCAGCATTTTCCTGTGTCAGAGCAACAATTTCATTGGCTTCTAGGTGATATATTGTATCTTGCCTTATGCATTTCAGCATTGTCCATAATTAGGCTGATATGACACTCATGCAGTAGCAGTATAATTATAAATAATAAATTGATTTGGCTATTTAAATTTGTATTTCCATTCTTTATGTTTTAATGAACTAAGCATTTCCACAGCAATTAAAATTCAGCATTTTTGTTAAGTAGTCTGTTAAAAATAAAATGATCATGTGATCAGATGATGTGATTTGCGGTCCTATGAATTCTTTCCCGGCAGGCCTTGCGGTAAATGTCTATGAAAAGAAATCTTCAGAATTCTATGTAGCGGATATTTTTGCTTACTAAGCTAGCTTTTTACTTCCTTTTTCTTGGGTTAATTACGCTTGGATTGAGTCTACTATGTTCTTGTATGTGATATGAATAAAAATACGAAAAAAACTGGACATGTTCAAGAATCTCATTTTTTTTAGTGATATTATTTTTTTTTTCATGTTGCCAGAAACCCACAACAACTATTTGGATTATTTCTTCCGGATTGCACTAGGCTAATTTTTGAACACTTGGATCGCAGGTACTGTAACTTCGTAATTTAATTGTTGATTTATCACTTGAATTGTTATTACTTTCAATTTTGTTTTGTGTATAAAATGGAAACTTTTGACAAGTTTAAATCCAAGAGGAAAGTCATTAGAAGTGCTTTCATAAAATTAATTAATAGAATTGACTCTTATTTTGATAGTCTGGGTATTAATAAAAATGAAAGCATTCAGGAGAATTAGTTGTAATTTTTGTTAAGGCTAGAAGAAAAACAGAATGAACTTCTAACTTTAAACTTGAAAATCGAAGACCTAATTCATGATAGTACAATGTTCGAAATAGAAATTTGAAGTTCCCTCGAGTATAATGAATCTATAAGTAATGTTAAGTACAAAATCAAAACAAATTAAAAAAGGTATGAAACTGAACATTTTAAATCTTCTCAAAATGTCAACATTTGTAATTCGAATATTTGCAATACATTATCTTTTATCAATTTGCCTAAATTACGCATTCCCACTTTTAATGGTGATTCTGGTTTATTGCAAAAATTCTTTAATAATTTCCCATGCGCAATTGACTGTGATGAATCATTAACCTTTCCGGCACACTACCTTTTAAAGTTGGAGTTTTGATTTAAAAAAAAAAAAAAAAAAAAAAAGGTATGCAGTCTAATTAGGCTTAGAGGAGTACACAAGTAAAATTTTGTGAAGATGGCACTTATCGTTTTAATTCTGTGGGTGTGCCCAAAGTGGGCACACATTGAATAGAGCTTCGAAAAGAGTGCTGAAATGAGAATTGTTGTCAATGAACTGACCGATGAGATGCGGAGAGACAAAGAATATAGACTGTCAGTTGTCCTAGTTTATCAGTGAGCCTGGTCTGGCCACACCTAGGGTTCACCGTTTGATTTTAGGCAAGATTTCAAGGTAAAAGTTTAAAACTGATATAGAATAAAGAGATTAGCATACAGCCAAAAAAATAACATAGAAATTTCTTTTCAAACAATTCCTTTTATACCCTAAAAAAAAATCTGGAAGATTTCTTTGAAAAATGAGGGTCTTAAAAAAACTAAACGTGGCTAAAATGTGTGGACTGGTTTGTGTTGAGCTGCCACCTACTATAAATAAAGAAGGTTCGGAGTAACCTATAGTAACCTATAAATCCTTTTTCATTCAATTTTTCTGTGCATACAGAAGGAAAATTTTTGGTGTGTCCAGACCGGACACACTGTGCCGCAAAGGGTTAAGTAATGTTGACAAGTTCATATATCTATAATCTTTTCTTTTGGGCGATGCTTACAAAATTATTTCGGGATTCGCATTTACGGAAGAAAATTATAAATCCTGTTTGAATTTGTTAAAGGAGCAATAAACAAGAACACTTGATTAGTTATTTCATGAATAAACTATTAGAAATTGAATCAGTTAAGTTTTCATCAAATCTCTTCGCACTTAGAAAATTATATGAAGAAAGTGAAATTAGTATAAGAAATTTATATTCTATGGGAGTTTGCTTTCAGAAATTATGCTCATCTGTTTATACCAATTTTATTACAATGATTACCTCATTATTTAAACTGAACTAAACAAAACTCAGTAACAGCGCTAATGGACCAAGGCCTGCACTGCCCGATATCTGCTTTCTTGACCGTGGGCCCCGAGGTGCATAAGCATATGCCCTGAACAAGTGGTCAGCTTCTCAGATGACTCCCAGTGTTTAGTCCCCAAGCAAACTTCGTACTCATTTTATCGACCCAAGTGATGGAAGGCTGAGTCGACCATGCCCAGCCCGGGAATCGAACCCCGGACCTGAAGTGCTGCTGCACGATGCACTAGCCACTGCGCCACCAAGCCTTCACAATATTTAGTAATAGAATTTTATTGCAAGAAAGATCCTAAAAATTGTAGTGATATAAATCAGCTGATGAATTTGATCAATCTTGAAATTGAATGTAGGGAAGCTCCAGGAACTGTTTCTGGGCTTTCTTTAAAGACACAACAACCTTTAAAAGAAAAGGGATCACTCTCAACCTCAGGCTAGATTTAAAACCAATATTCCAACATCAGCTGCATTAAATACGGTAGTGAAGACATGCAGCTTTATTCTTCTATTCTTTATTGAAGTAATTCTAATTCTTATACCAGATTAAAGTGTAAAAAATTCACCAATGAACAAAAACAAAACAAACTAAAAACTGAGGGACGTTGTTATATATGCTTTGTTAACAAACATTTAATTTCACAATATAGTAAGAATAGAACCTTGTGAACTTTATCAGAGTTCACAGCATAATTAATTATTCTGCCCCACAACAAGGAATAGAAATACATCAGAAATTGAACTGTCTCAAAAGGCTGAATTTATTCAAAGTTGTGATGAACAAACTGTGATGTCTTCTATATTTAAGTCACAAAACTATGTACAAAATTACAGTACTTTACTTCAGACTGCTAGCATACAAGTGGAAAATAATTCAAAGCAATTAAGTGCATTGATGTTGATTTGGGCTCATGGAAATCATTTATTTGAAAAGATTTAGTAAGGGCTTTAAATGTGCTACCCCTAAAGAAAGAAAGACTTTTAGTTTATTACTTTCGCAAAAAAAAAAAAAAATGAGAAGGATTTTGAAGTCATTAATATTACAATAATAGAAGCAAATATCCCAATCCTCCTTTTTCTAGCATAAATATTCACGCTTTAGTAACTGATGAAATCAGCGCAGTTCATATACTATATTCGAATATCAAACCTGAATTATTAAAAGATTTAATTCCACACGGCTATGAAATTTCTGAAGCATCATACGATAACAAACCAGTCCAAGTATTCTTAGACGCCGATTTTATGTATTCAACGCTAATTGGGAAAGTTAAAAAAAAACTAAAAGAACTTATATATTCAACAGATACTATTCGGTGATACTATTACGGGCAGATTCCAGAAAATCATCTGCATTATTCTACTTCCTGTTTGAAGATTGCATGTACCTCAGTAGAAAATGATTTGAAATGTTTGTGGAATTTTGAGTCTTATTTTCTTGAGTATAGAAAAGAGAAAATCTCGGATAATATTACAGAATTCGAAACGCAGTTGCGGTTTATAAATGGAAGGTATGAGTCGTCACTTTTATGGAAGCCTGAGAATTTATGAGAAAATTTGTGTAGTAATTTAGAAATCATGACAAAAAGATTTGCTGCATTAGAAAAGAAGGGTTATGAGTTATTATTTGAGAGATATAATGCAGGTATGAATGAACAATTAAATGACGGGATTATTGAAATGTGCAACAATAGTTGTTTCACTGGTTATGTAATGCCTCTTAGAGAAGTTTTGAAGGAAATTTCTAGTACTAAAACTAGGTGTTAGATGCCAGTAATAAACAAGGAAGTTGTAATAGTCTTAATGAATGTCTCCTTTCTGGAAAAAATTTAAATGCTAATCTTTTAGATATTATTTTGAAATTTAAAGAAAATAAAATTGGATTGTGTGGAGATATTGCATGGGCATTTCTTTAAATTCAAGTCACGAGAGGACCGAAATTATTTGTGTTTCCTGTATTATAAAAACTGTGACAAAATCCAACCCATAACCATAACCATGTATCATTTTAATAGACATTGTCTGGCATCACTTGTTCTCCTTACATTTTGGCTGCAACAATTAAAACTCATATTAATGCTTACATGAATACACACCCTCTCACATATGAAATGTTGAATAGTTCTGTTTATGTGGATGATCTTTTTCATGGAAGTTCCACGGTTTAGGAAGCTTATTAGTTATCTTGTGATGCTTTTTTGATTTTAACCCTCCGAGCGTTACGAGTTTAGCCCTGAAATTTCAAAGTTGCTTAAAATGTCATGATTAAGTGGTATTTTCTTGATTTTAATTAAAAAATGAATCTCTCATTTTGTACCTTGATTCCTTTTCTTCCAATATTCATCCAAACCGAAATCAAATACATTAAAAGCTAGCAGAAATTTCCATTTGTAATGAATGTAGAAGGCAGTTTTCTATACCGAATTTTCCGGCCGTAACACTGAGAGGGTTAAAGGACGCAAACATGAATATGAGAAAATTTGACACTAATTCTGAAGAACTGCAAGATTTATGGAAGAATTCTAATTCATTAATCGATACAAATGAATATTCTGATTCACATTTAAAAGTATTAGAATTTTGTTGGAATAATATTGAAGACACATTAAGTCTAGACTTACGGTCATTATTATCCACGCTGGATGATACTTATGAATGTACTAAACAAAACGTACTACACACAGCTGCAAAAATATTTGATTCATCTGGATTTATCACTCTGTTTCTAATGAAGTGTTTTTTACGAGAGCTGTAGCAGTTAGGTGTAGAATGGGATGAAGTGTTTTCTAGAGATATTAAAGAAAAATGACAAGCATGGTGTAATGAAATTAAAGAACTTCAAAATTTGAAGATTCCTCAGCATTATTTTTCTGTCATGAATCTGAAGGGGGAAGATTTACAGATCCATATATTCTCTGATGCTTCATTAAAAGCTTTTGGAGCGGTGTCATATATTAGGTACAAGACATCACATGGCACTTTTAAAACCAGCTTCATAGTTTCCAAGTCATGAGTTGCATCAATTAAAATAGTGATGTTGCCCCAACTAGAATTAATGGGTGCAGTAATTGCAGCAAGATTAGCCAAATATTGTAAAAATCTTTTTAAAAATTTAGAAAAGATTGTTCTATGGAGTGATTTAACATAGTGCTACACTATATAAAGCCGCATCTAAGTGGAGCAATTTTTTTCAACAGAGTATAGAAATTCAGAACTAGAATGCAGTGCATGGAGACTGTAATGTATTTACAGTATTGACAAACAGGCAATATTCTATTATAACATAATTTATTTTCGTTCTGAGATGATAATTTGAAAATTCTTAGGGAAAACTTTTGTACTACCACTAGCTGGTAAAACTTCAGATCCATTTAAAACATTTTCACGTTGCTACACGGTTTTAAACAATATGGCAGGCCTCTTCAACAATAAATATCA